TGTTCTGAGATGAGAATACTGTTGATACTCAAACATAAAGCTGTGTAGAATAGGCCCTGGACATAGTTTTGGATTTGAAGTCCTCCTAATTTAAGCACCATTTGGATAAAAACTCTGTATCGTATTGTTGGCAATTATAGCCAAATTTATATGAATTTCTGTGGGAGTTCTTGGTGAAATTCAAAAGAGACCATAAAGGTCAAACAGAATAAAACAAGGGAGAGAAATACAGGTTTTAATTAGAGAATTCAACAGGTGCCTTTGTAGCACTTCATTTGTGCTAATAATATTTTACACATCAGAAAATCATCGTTCTCTTCCCTTTGGGTTTGGACACTACTGAGAGAGGATTGTCATAGAGGGAGGTGCTTCATGTTTCCAAGAAGCAAGGATGCCTTTTGACCTATCTCCATTCCATCTCTAGTTTTATTAAGGTCTAAACCTGCTATTAACTGACCTGATACATGAATATGGAAGAGTTCAGTAATCCTGCTTTCTTTAGAAGTTTAAATGCCGGATCTGTTATTGAGACTACAGTAGCTATTTTGCAAAAATGATGATAGAATTGGGACCAGACAGCTGGCAGTGTTGTTACTTTATACAAAGACAATGTCATAAATATCACTTGACTAGAGACAGGGCATCTCCTCATACTTTTTATTTTATTGTGAATATCTCAGTTTCATAATTATTCAAAAGGAATTGCTTTTGCAACAGAAATACTGACCACAATCCCTTTTGTCATTTTCTTGTATGTAATTCCCTTTCCAGTAGTTGTGTTATCTGATTATCTTCATTTCCAAGTAAGGGATTGATGTGCTTATATAAACTCTGTGCTCACACTTGTAGTTACTCTCAGGTAGGCTGATGAATAAACTAAACTTATTTGCTGCAGCCTTGGTTAATGTGCTCATTATGGATCTTAAAGGACTAGATTAGAGAGTGATAATTGGAAAAGGGGAATGCATAGCACTTAAGAACTTAGAGGAAGTATAGTATTTCTGGCATGCAATCCACTCACTGCTAACATTCATTTGTTTTATGTGTTGTCACATTCTTTTATTATGTGCATTGTGCCAGTGCTATTTTTAGTCAAATTCACAAGTTCCTGAGTTCAGCATTTTCAAAAGTTAGAGCATAATAATTGTTATTTTTAGGAATTGTTACTTAAGGACATCTGTTTGCTTCATGGAAAGCTGTATCTTGCTGTGTCTGCACAGGTGTTTGAAGCAGCAGTGAAAGATAAGAAAAGCTGTGAAATTATTGCAAACCTAAAATGTTCAAGCTTGTGACTCAGTCACAGTTTGGTCTTTACCCCATTTTTAACTCTGGGGAGGAAGTAAGATTTGCCAGTACAATGTCTGATGGAAATGGAGAGCAGAGAGATATACGTGTTTATTATTTATTGTAAGTAGTACTATTACTCATGAAAATATTTACATATAAATCTATATCAGTTTAACCAACTGTATTTTGCTGTTTAATGTGATCTTTTAAATATTTATTCAATAATCAAAATGGTGAAGTATCACCCTGTAAGACAACCTTTTGCATTACAGTTCAGCTTCCCTCCAGTACTGTTCTGGAGGATATGGCCTTATTCTCACAACACTGCAAGAAGCAGTGAATAAGTCTGGAGATGCAGCAAAATATATATATATGAGTAACTGTTGTCTCTAATGCGCTCCTGAGATGAGAATTCTGAGTTGCTTGGGGTAATGTAATTTATGCATCTGCTCCTCAGAGCTGTGTTGAAGATATTGGCAAAATTTGACTTGCTAATGGACTGTATTTGCTTTAATTTGGTATGCAATAAAATATATATATGCATTTTAATGAAACTAAAGGAACTGGGGTTAAATCAAATGTTGCTGTTATGTTTAGCAGAATTTTCATTGTGGATTTAAGTCAGGATTGGATCCTACACAGCCTCTATGCTATTACAAAAAACAGCACAATCCCTAAAAACAGAGTGGAATTATTTCACATCGTATCCATTATACGAATGGGAATGGTTTCTGGTGGGAGTTAAATGTCCTACCTTGCATTCAAATGTTGACGTTTCCAAAAACCTGTTAGAGAATAGCAGGACAGGGATCACCTGTACCAGTTCTGCTCATCTCTGGTTATGTCTGAAACACAAGAGAGAGGTAGGGCAAAAGGGCATTTGTTACCCTATTCTGTATCAGTGTGGAGGAAAATTAGATGTTTGTGCTCCAGGGATGCAAACTCAGCTTCTGTTACTGGTTCTGAATTAACATTTAGAAAATAAATAAATAAAAAAGGTTGTGAAGATATCATCACTTCTAAGATCACAGCACTGCTGCCTTAATGAGGTACCACCCAAGGATGAGGTGCTTTTTGAACAGTGCTGATGCCCTGCAGGCTGCGCTCAGTGGAGAAGCTTTTTATTAATATTGTTATTTTATGACCTCTTGTAGGCTCTGCAGAACAGAAATCTTATTGATATTCTTGATAAATGATCCATGAAGACGTGATCTTCCTCTGTCACTGTTGTTGAAGTTATTATTTGTAATACGACAAAGTTTAAATATGCCAGTCATAAACTGGCTCCGTTAGAATCTTAGACTTAAAATATAATTACCTCTATGATACAGAAGATAAAAATGAGACAGTGAGTATTAAAATGATGGGCCTAAATAGAGGTGTGTTCAGTACCCGAAATGGAAAGAGAGCGTAGATCCAGTATTAGTGTACCTGATTTTCTGTATTGTGTTGCAGATGGATGTGGAGTGCTTTGTGAGTATGATAATTAGGTTCTTTGTGTTACTGTCTCCCTGCCTGCTGCTTGTGCTGTGGAGTGAATTCTCTCATATTCTCTTGATACTGTTTAAACGAATTCCAGTAGGACATTAAAATTAAGGACGTTTCCTTTCCAGACGTGTATGTTTTGCCCTGCTTCATGTCGTTGCTGTCCAGAAAAAGGGAGAGCTGAAAGCACAGGTGTTAAATCCTTTTTAATTTGTGCTCTGCATTTGATCTGTAACATTGACTATTGTGTGCATGCAACACTGCTGTCCCTTGATAAAATGTAAAGATATAGATGTGAATTAGTTAGGTTCAACTGCAGGTGTTCTTTATATGATCAGAAATTTATTTTCCAGCCATTTTCTTTTCAGCTAGTTAAATGCGACATAGCAAACTGCTGAGTGCTTGTAGCAGTTTGAATTACATGACTTTGAATAAATTGAAATGCTACTGCAGTTTTTTCTGTGTGCTTGTCCTTTCTCTTTTTCATTTCCTTATGCTACACTTCTGATTTTTTCATTGTTCAATTAGCAGGATTTCGGAGATGCTAAACAGTGAGCTCCAAAGGAGCTCATAATGTCTAAAATTCAGCAGCTGATACTCCTCAGTAAGCTGGGTTAGCTCTGGCAGGCTCTACTAGGATGGACTTCAACGTGTAATTAAAATAACTCTTGTGTCCTGAACACCATGGCTATGTCTCCCTCCCCTCTTTCCCTGTGTGTCAGCTTTAGTAAGGCTATTAGGGAAAAAGCAGCAAAGTGAGCACCTTAGAAACAAGCTGCAGCCATCCTTTGCCAGCAGCAGGTGCAGCAGCGTTAACTGCTGTGCTAATGTAGCACTGCTATGTCTGGTTTGCCTACCTGTGGGTAAAGTGGCACATTCATGGTTAAAGGAAGGGCTCTGGGTATGTGCAAGGAGACTTCTTGGGGGAGAAAAACAGTGATTTTGTAAGAATTACTATTACTGTCTAGGACTCAGGAGTATTGGACATAAACAAGATATTTGACAGAGGCATGAGTTCTTGGCATTATAGTGACTTAATAGTGACTGGAAAACAGTTAGATTCACTTGTTACATTACTTTTTCTAAGTAAGAGAATTTAATAGCACTGATGAAGGGAGGTCACTATTCAGTCTGTTCTATCTTCCCAGTTTGGGTTTCAGAGAGGTATTTCATGTGCATATTCACTGGTGAGCCCAGCTGTGAGAGTCATTCCATTTAAAAACAATAGAATGTTCTGGAAGAGCGAAATTACATTTGAGAAGAAGGGAGTAATGTGTAATAAGCACAAAAAGGAGGAAGACTACTGACAGGAAAAGATGGGATTGTTGTTTGTAAAAGAATAACAGAACACAATTAGGGAAGAGGAAACTGATTAATCCAGTAAGTAGTCCAATAAGTGCAGAAAAGCTGCTGTCAGGTTCTTAGTTAGCTTCAGTGCATGTTTTCCCATGCTTCAGTTCAGCCAAACTTGCTGTCTACACACAGCAAAGGCTGCCTTATTTGCTTTGGAACTGTAAGGATGACACTATCTACCTGTATGCATGTGTATATTACTTTGTATGAAAGTGTACTGAATATTTATTATGGGATGATAATGATTTGATATCTAGCAAAGATTTTACGTTTGAAATGCAAATGGTTTGTGAAAAAAAGATTTTGAATTTTTTGGTGATACATATATTAAATGTACATATCAGAGCATGCATACGAAGGTATAGTAGTTTCTTTCCTATGCTTACATTATAGCAAGAGATGTTTCTGACTAGCATCACATTGATCTAAAAACTTCAGTTTACTTTTCAGGCTTTTTTGTGGTTTTCCATGGGTAAACATCAGCCAACAGAATTTCTAATAGTATATTTGCAATGCTGTTCGTTAGTTTGGAATTCCAAGTGACCACGTTTCAGCTCTCAAGAGCTGTGCTTCTTTGCCAGCTTCTCCAGCTCTGTGTTCTGTAACCGTCCCCAGACTTCATCTTGAGTTGTGTCAGAAAGCAGAGTTCATTATCTGAATCAGAGTGTTCCTGGTTCAAAATAGAAGCATACTGTTTATATCCTAAAATGATTGCCATCTGACAGCCTTATACACTGTCCCAGAATTAAAGATCCTAGCACAACTCCTGTAGCACAGCACTCATCTATCAGAAGTTACCATTGCAATGAGCTAGCTCGGCAGCAATGACAAGGATTGACAGTTGCTGCTTGCAGAACTGGCTTTCTTCCCTCCAGGAACCAAATCCTGTATTTGCTGAAGTGCATTGGAGTCTCCATTGGTTTCAGAGGACTGCAAGGTGACTATTTCTGCAGGAACAGAGGCAGTGTTGCATTCTGTTTTTCTAGTTTACTTTTCCTCACAAGCCTTGCTGGTACTCCCTTATGCTTTTACTTCCCTCATTTACTTTTAGATTTAGTCGCTAGCCTAAATCATTTGAATGTTAACTGCAACTGGTTTACAGACTGGTGTTTGTTTGCTTCTTTCCACGAATTCTCTTTGGAAACTGTGATCAGAATTGATCCTGTATTTATTTATGCCGATGCAAAAATATTATTCCAAGAAAAAATGAAAGAAAAAATGAAGGGATAAGGTGACCCATCTGTTATTCTATTAAAAGCAGAGGTAGATCTAGTATACACTAGAAAATGACTGGAGAATCTGTTCTCTACTGCTTCCCGTGTTTCCTTTCTAGTTTCACAGATGATTTTTTTTTTTTAAATTTCCTTTATAAATTTGCACCTTGGGTTTCCTTCTCAGCTATTACCAGCCAGCCCACTGATCAAGCAACAGCATTGTGTTTTTGCTCATTTTGTGAACTGTGTTAGAAGCTGAAATCAAATATGTGATAATGAATGTAATATACTTGAAAGTGCTGTGATGCTTAGTCGGAAGCCATTCATCATTAAGACCTTCCTTGTCTGTAATTTATGGCGAGGATGAATCATTCTCTTGGTAAAGGTTATAGTCATGTTCTAAATCACATTCTAAAAATGAAAAGAAAAAAAAAAAATCCAGCAGTGATAAATAACTGCCATCTGGAATCTGTGCTATGCAATTGTACCATGAGTTGTCATCCACGTAAGATAAGCTTTTGAGGATGCTTAGACTGACTGCATAGAGTTAGAGACATGAAAGTGAAAAAATATGTTCCTTGTGAAGTGGAAGAAGTCCTTAAACTACAGAATTTGTTGCAGCACAACTGTATAGGAGTAGGTAAAAGTTGGGAGTAGCTGTAGTGGGCTTCTCACTGTTTGCAGAAACAAGAATCACTTGAACTATTTGACTGATGAAGATGAACTGACATCAAAAGAAGTCCCTCAAATGTTTTTTTGTTGTTTTTTTTGGGGAGGGGAGGGGGGTGTTTTTTTTTTTTTTTTTTTTTTTATTTTAATTTTAATGTGATCTGGAGACACAGCAAGAGATACATGTGAACTGTGTGTGGGATTGTCTGGCTTTGAGTAATAGAAGATACTGGAATAAAATTCTTTTATTGCTTGAATAAAGATAAGAATTGAATTTCTGAGAAAAGGCATAAGAAAACAAGCGAAGACCAGCTAAGAAAGGGGGGTGAAAAAGAGCCTTTAGAAGTAATCAGTCTGAATCAACATCACATAAACTTCTGTTTCTGCCAGCTGCCCACTCACTCTTTTAATAGAAAGGATCATGTTGGTCTGCAGTAAGCAGCATGAGAAGCCATGGATTTACCAGGGGTGTAACTTTTCTTTTTTAGTGGGTTTTAGCTCAAAAAGCTAACTTAGTAATGGATTTGATACCTTTAGGATGAATGTAACTTACAAAAAAGCTCACAGTGTACAGCCAGGATCAGAACCAGGATGGCTCCATGCCTTGTGCTCATTGCCCTCTGCTTTGCTGTCCCTCTCTTGAGGTATGTCTGGGGATTGATGCAGGTTTGCCTTCTGCAAAATCAGTGATGGAAGTCACAGGGATATTTTACTGATCTGTTATTTCTGTTCCTTTCAGCTGGTGTTGCCGGAGTACTCCATCCATAGCCTTTTCTGCATAATGTTTTTGTGTGCTCAGGAATGGCTCACACTGGGCTTAAATGTTCCTCTGCTTTTTTATCACTTCTGGAGGTAAGCCCATATTTTATATTCTGACTGCTTGTTAGCCATATGTGTCAACTTATCAGCCATGCAGATTGTATGAAGCATGAAGCTCAGCAACAGGAAAAAGGCCTAAAGGCAGCTAAGACACAAGTTTGGAGAGAAAAAGTATATTATAATGTTTAGGATGGGGAAAGAAAACCTATAATACATAAAAGTGGCTTCAAATAGCCTAATTTAGATAGCCACATTTAAATAACCACTTTGAATTTTGCAAGTGCGAGATGGAATCATTCACACATGAGAACTTGAAGTGGCCTGCAGTCTGAAGATGGAGCACTAAGAGCTGTACAGGCTGGGAGCTGTCAGGGAGTTAATATCACATAATCATTAAGGTTGGAAAAGACCACTAAGATTATTGTGTCCAACCACCAACCCACTCCCACCTTGCCACATATCACATCCCTCAGTGCCACATCTCCATGGTTCTCAAACACCTCCTTGGATGGTGACTCCCTCATCTCCCCAAGCAGCTGGATTCTCCAGCTGTCTTCAGCTTTAGGTCTCTGCTACATGTTTGTGCTCACCCAAGGTCTTCCTTAGTAGACTGTGTGGGAGCTGCTGTGGAGCAGCTTTAATGTTTTCTGGACTGAAGCTGCTGGCAATACAGCTTCCACTGAATTCTAGTAGAGGATCTGGCACCTCTGAAGATAGGCAGGAGGCATTCATTTTTCTGTCTGTCAATCTGCAGTCTTTCACTAGTTTTGCATTCCCACTGTATTTGGAAAAGCATAGGCAATTTTTGTCAGGTTCTTTCTGTGTTACAGAGATAGATATGGTAGCAGGGAGCTTCTGTTGTGAAGTAGCTTGAAGAACAACTCTGTAAAGAAGGGACTGCTAGTGCCTCAGCTACAAATTAAAAAATAGTAGCTTTTAAACTCTATTTTCTGTGAAACTTGATAATAATGCAGCATCTTGTGGTAGATTTATATTATACAGAAGTTAGAGTGACAGCATAGTTCTCAGAAAGTTTAATGAGATGAAGTTATGAGCGCTCTTTTGTTGGGTATAATAAAGATCATGGTGTTTTACGATGCTGTCTTTCAAAGGATAACGACTCAAGTGTGAAAAGTAGAAAAAAATACAAAGTGGAAATGGTCATACTTGAAATAATGATGCCAAACTTAAGATATGTTTCTGTGATTCTCCATAGGTATTGTCGTAATTACTCATGTCATTTGTTGCTCTTGGGTTCATTGTAAAAATTTCTGCGTAAAACCATGGGAAGATAATTGCATGTTATCATTCCAGTGAAGCTGCAAAGTAACTGAGACTAAGGTTCCTTTGCCAAAAACATCTTTCATCATAGTTTTTTCAAATATCCAGTCACTGGTGAAAATAATAAGAAATTTCTCCCACGTAAGAAAAATATTTTCTGATAAAAATCATTTAGATAATAAATTTCTGGGCAGTGCTATGTGTAGAAAACACTAGTCAGCCAACTCTTTTGTTACACCATATTGAATTTTTCCTTTTCAGAGCAGAGGAAGCTGAGCTGTCAACTGGTTGAGACTGTCACCTCTCATCATATCTGAAATTAGTTGTGTGGATACAGTTAAAGCCCAGTAATTCTTCTTCCATGCTGTGATCACAGACCACGTATTGTAACGCACAGTATACAAGTTATTAGCGAGTAAGCCAGAAAGAACTGGATAGGCAGGGGGAATGTTGCAGTCTAACGATTTAACAGAGCACAGAAATTTCACAACCATGAATTGCTTGGTTCTGCAATATATCTAGACTGGCATTCTGACTTAACCATGTCCAGAAAGTGAGGCTTGATAAAGAGAGGTAAATTTCTCCTATACGATGGAAGACTGTTTTCTTTTGAGGTGATGGTCAGGACAGTATGTGTCAGCACATATCTAATACAGCGTGTTACAGTTGTTCTTGAGTTCTCCTTTTCTTTCAGGTATTTTCGTTGCCCAGCAGATAGTTCAGAACTCGCTTACGATCCACCTGCAGTCATGAATGCTGATACCTTGAGTTACTGTCAAAAAGAGGCCTGGTGTAAGCTAGCTTTCTATCTCCTTTCTTTCTTCTACTATCTTTACTGGTAAGTCTGGTAATTTTATATAGAGGGAATAGTAGCTGCTTTTCATTTAATGTGTGAAATTGCATTTAGGAATGGCTGGAACAAATGTGCATGCTTCCTAAGCCTTACAAAACTGCTTCTGATCTTGATTCAAGGAAGCATCAGCAGCGTGTGCTTAAATCTGCGGATGCTTCATTACATGTAGAATATTAAGCATTTGTTTGAGTATTTCTGCTGGAACTAAACTGTTGTGCTGAGCCCTGCTTTCCTTCATTCTAAAATGTGGCCATAAGCCAAGGACTGCTGTCTGGTCCTTAATAAAACAGTGCTATATCCACTTTTGCTGTGCGTTCCTGGGTATTGCAAGAGCTAGAATTGCAGTAAAATGGGGCTGTGGTAATATACTGCAATTTCCTCATTTTTTAGTGTTGTACTTAATATGTATGGATTTGTGCTAGCTGGTTGTCTGCATTTTATTTCTTCTACTATATGGACTTTTCTCCGAAGGAAAGAAAACGTAGTTTCATGGTAAACCTTGCCTGCCACACTGAGAGTTGCTGGTTGAAGTTGTAAATATCAAATGTCTGAAAGCTAAATGGTTTTGTTTCTTCACTGTTCAAATTCAAACATCATAGCACATTTTAATAAGCTCAAACACAGCTTGTGGTACAGTAGGAAATCACTAATGAATTTGCTATTTCTTGAGTTCTTTTTGATACCCATCTTGAATCCACCATAATTAAGATACTTTAGAGAGACAGAGAGAATGCAAAGGAAGGCATTGGCCATTACAGTCAGACCTTGAGGAACAGACAGCAAAGGGTTATGAAAATCAAAGTGCTCTTTATGTTTCAAAAGGATACTTTCATATTGTGTCTTTCTTTTCACTCAGCATGATCTACACTTTGGTGAGCTCTTAACTAAAAGATCATCATTAAAGACTGAAAACAACAAAAGCTGTGGAGGTGCAAGGAGTGAGCCAAGTGATGCATGATTCAAAGATAAATAAGTAAATGAAAATTAAAGAGAGGAAAACTTTGAACCCAAGAAGTAAATAGAGTATATGACAGAGACACCAAGCAGAAGCAGAGTACCATGAAGAGTGGCTGAGTTAACTGTGTTTCTCCTGTCTCTGTGTATTACAGCAAATGACTTTCAAAACCCAAGGGAAACAAAAAAATGCAACCAAATAGACTGAGTTACAGAACTGTTTTCCTCTTCAAGGATAATGCTGCTCAGCTAAATGGATTCATCATAAACCGTAGTCCCTACTGTCTTCCAAGGAGCAAAGTTTCTTTTTTCTTTTTTAATGATTGTTCTGTTCTGTGGAAGCAGAGGACAAGATCATCATAAACAGCAGGAACACTTACACAATACGTCATGAAAATGAGCACTAAACTGGGGTTCAGACAAGATGTGTGACTGTTCTGCAGGGGTGTTTGTGTGACACTTATCAAACAGGGTGTTGGATCTTGGGGAATTGCTTTCTGTGGCTTTTTTTACCCACTCCTCTTTAACAATAACAAGAAAATTATTTAGAAATTGCAGTGCTCCGTTTTTTTAACGACATGTTATTACTGTAGACAAACATGTGGTATGTTTCTGTACTTCACTTGTGGTGCATCAATAACATAGTGATAGTATAAATACGTTGGAATTGGCCTAACTATATCAAGCACATACCAGAATAGTGTTCCTCTGACTGCAAAAAAGACTGGTAAGAATTACATAAGTGAAGAGGATTGTAATATAGATATTGTATTTGTTAGAATTCCGGAGAATGAAATACCAGACCAGATTGTGGTCTGAAATTCTATTGTGCCATTTCATTTCTGCTGTCAAATTTATGCTGGAAGTCACAAAATGTTTTTGTTCTGTATGAGGTGGGTATTTAAGTTGTTCAGTTCTTTTTATAACTTAAAAGGATTTTTATTATTTTATCGTACAACTAATATTTAATTTTATACATATGAGCTGTAAATCTTCATATATATGTATATACAAATACACATCTATGTAAGCACTCAAAGTCTATTCATATTTTATGTTAATCTGTTTGATTTACCAGGTCAAAAGCATCATCTGTTCAGAACTGCTGCTAAATATGTTTCAGCACTGAAACTAGTGAACCAGGGCTGACTCCAGAATCACTAAGGTATTTCAAGGCAATCACTGGTGCCCTGGGCAGCAGGAAGCTTCTAAGACTAGTACCAGCACACACAGGGATCGGGTCCTGCACTGTGAATGAGCTAATAAGACATGCTTTTGGCACAGATGCTGAGGAGAGCAGGGCAGAGAGTTCTGTATGGAAACAGCTTGTGAACAATTGGTCTCGTTAAGTTTGGCCCAGTGTAGACCCTGCCAAATTTGGTGTGTCTGTTGAGAGCCAACAGATTGTTCCTGAGGACTTTGGGCACAAGACTTCAGAAAGAAAGGTCCAGTGGCACGTTCAGCACTGCTCTTGTGCTAATAAACCCTATTTTAGAGCATGCTGGAGAAGCAGTGGCTGCGTGCAGTAATCTAATGTCTGGCAAAACAAAAACTGAGCTGGAGTTAATGTGTTGTGTACAGTGCCAAGGCTTTTTCTGGTTTGATCAGCCTACACTGACAAAATTAAATCCTCTTAGCCTGCAAAACACTTTTTGGTGCATGCTAACTGACTGCTTTTAGCCTGTGTCAAGATCGTGGCATGGAGGAGTGCTAACTGGCTTCTGTAAAAGGTATACCAAGGTCATTCTAACAGTATTTAAATGATGAAGTTCTGCTTAGCATTGACATTCTACAACTTACCAGTACAGACGTAACTGATAGTCTTGCATTGTGCAGTTTTAATTTTTACAGCCTAGCATTTCCATTTCTAGAAGCAGACAACAGAGCTGCCATATCAGGTTACTTGGGAAACTAATTTCTGCCTGATGGTTCATAAGTTTGGATTGCACATGTTACAGAAGTGACTGAACTGCTCTTCAAATCACATTTGCAGACAGAATGGATGTATTTCCTTGAAGTGTGCTTGAGCTAAGGAAAGCTGAGTGGTTACAGAGCTAACTCTGTATAGCTCTGTATGGTATAATTAATGCATAATCCATAAAAAGCTGAAGATTGCCTGTTACTGGATTTCTTCTATACATACTAGCTGAAAACATCTCATTCTACAGTAGTATGGAAGCTAGCTCCACAGGAGAAAATCAGCATTGCTACCTCATAAAACTCAACACTGAGGAGGTGACTGACACATCTTCCAGGGTGCATCAGAGGTTAAAAAAAACGAAATTCGGATTTCCAACATTCCAGAAAAGTGCTTTGAAGTCAGTTTTGTGAAACATCCTGGAATGTTTTTGTGAGGCTGAATGGATGAAATTCTGATCAGGTCTTGCAGGAAAAGGCGCAAATCCTCCTTGGCTTCCATGCTGTCAGAATTGAGCTCAGAGTCTCTTCTTCTGTCTTTCTGTAGTAAAGCTCTCCATCTTCCATGTCATGTTTAAAGGATTTCTCTGGTCCTTCTGGCCAAATTAATCTTTCTTGAGAGAGGATGATGAGAGATGTTTAGAGTATTCTTGAGTCTGTCTTACCCAAACTTATCCTTTCCATGAGTGGATAATGAAAGCTGGCTTTTTCCTTTCTTCCTAATAATCGTTATTCAAAAAAATAACCCCATTGCTTTCAATGACAATTTATCATAAAGAAAAAATGTGGTCTAAGTCAATTGAAAAAAATCCTTAATTGAGGATACTTTTCCTTTCCTGGAATTTAGTTAGCCTGCTGAGTATAAATACTACAAAACTGGCCAAGGCATTAATTGGAGGACGTTTTGGATGTATTTCCAGTCCAGAACTCAAGAGCGTGTCTAAGGTATCCAACAGTTTTAAAAAGCTGCTAATACTGCAGATTTCAGAGGCAACAGATGCAACCCTTGATATTTGCATTGCTAGGTGTTGTTGCCCAGACACATGGGCACATGTTGCAGTATCTTCCTGGATTGCCCCAGCAGACAACAGCACTTGGCTGCAGTCATGGGCTACACCAGTATGTGTTGTCTGCTATGGCAGATGGACTTCAATACCATATTCATACTTGTGTCCAGATTAATCATTTTCTTATAATGATAGGCTTTTGTTTCCTTGCTTTGGTAACTTTTGTAGTAGAAATTTTTTCACTGCTCTAAAAGGTCCATAAATTTACCATGTATTCTTCTGTGTCAAGGCTAAGGGCTGTCTGCTGGACAGTTATACCCATGTATAGTGGATGAATTCATAGCCAGATTTACCATTTTCACTGTTAGACTTGCTAGATAAATTATGAGAGAAAAAGTGTGAAAAGAGGTAGGAAAAATGGTAAAGATACAGATTGCCCTCTTAGTACTGGCTATCTTGCTGCTAAACATGAGCAAACCAGGCAAGTGGATCTCCATAGACAATAGTGAATAATAGAAAAAGTGCTCAGATTTTCAGTTACAAGGTCTTCTCTTCCCTTCATGACACTTAAGAAAGAAATAATCTCTGCTTTAGTCCCTTTAGTCACCAGTTCTTCTTGGTGACTGGAAGTTGCATATTTCTTCCTCAAGCCTTCTTGCTTCCTGCCTCTTCTCCTGGAAAAGTAAATACCATCGCTTAGGAGCAGCAGGTTTTGTTCTCTCACATGCTCTGGTGATAGATGTGAACCCCACAAAGGTCATAGGAAATCACATTATTTCCCTTGCTCCCTTGAAGATATGTGCAGTGAGCACACATTCATTTTCTTCAGTTGTACCATCTGTAAAGTGAGAATGGTGCTACCTACCTTGTGAAATCTTTCCACATATATAATACTCCCTTTCTTTTTGTGAATGCTTAATGTATTTAAAGGGAAAAGGTAGGAGGTGGAAAAACAAAATGTGAGTGGATGAAACCTGGAGGAGCTGCATACCAACAGAGTGGCTGCACAGCATGCTGCCAGAGCTGCCTCCCCTTGGCTATGATGGAAAGGCAGCCCCAGTGGGGAGGAAGTGCTCTGTGCTTCTCTTCTCCTATTTGTAGTCAGGTAACTGAACTGCAATGATGCTGAAAGAAGTCACTGCTGCTATGACTGTTTCAGTTTCAAATGCAGCAAGACAATGCTGATAGCAGTATGATTCACCTACAGATAATTAACTGCACTTAAAGTGTCATGAATGTTTTTCTGTCTGTTCCTGGGACCATATGCTTCCTTTTGCACCAAGGCACTGAAAACTGACCTGCACCTTTCTACAGAAACTGCATGGAGGTTGTGATGACCTGACAGTGCTGTGGGCTTGTACTTATTCATTCATTAGTACAGATATTAGCACTCTGCTTTTCTTTCTCTACTCTGTCTCCACACAGATACCTAAAACTAATAATATTAATAATTTTACAGGGCATGGTCCAAAGTCTGGAATTTACTGGAGATTTTCCTTTATTTCCAAAGGACATTGGATCATGCCCCTGTATTGCTCTACAGCTATGTGGGAAATAGAGTTACATTAGAAACTCCCTAGAATTTTGCTGCTAAATTGTGTCTTGCCTTTTAGATCTTGATGTCACATCCATTTGCATTAATTATGCTAATGGAAGAAGAACATGGGCATCAAAGGGATAAGAGGGGTGTTTCAGTGCCAGACTGTCAGTGAATGCAAGGCCAAGTAGGTAAAAATCTGGCTTCAAAGGAGTTAATGGAAATTTTGTCTCTTACTTCATGTGAGTCCTCCTCAGCACTGTGCAATTTCTACCAAGATGACAATGAAAATTAAAAGCAGAAGGCAAAAAATTAACAAAATAACTTCAGTTATGGTCAAAGATGTTATTGGATGTTACATAAAGCTTGTATTACTATGAACAGAACAGGAGGTAAAAAGATCGAAGTAAAATACGGTATCTTTATTTAGGAAGCAATTATTATCAATCTACCCTCCATGCAGCACCGAGCTTTACATTGATGATCTCAATCCATTCTTATTCTGGTGAGCTTGTAATTTTTTATCATTCATTAATCATAAACACCTTGTTCTGATTTATTCTGTGCAGGAATGCAATTGTAGGTGGGCAAGTGGGAGGGAAAATTCTGCTCTGAAATACAACATTTCCCCCTTTCTTTCCTCTCAAATATTCTGTGAGTATGTGATAACAGAATTCTGAAGTTTCAGTGATACATCTCAATGATGAAATTATTTGCTGCAGATGATCCTGTGCTGCAATTTAACAAAGCACTGTTCTGTAAATATTTTCAAGTGCTTACACAATTAACAATAGTTATTTTCTTACCTGTAAATTGGTGGTCAAATTCTCATTCAAGAGCAAATGTAGTTCCATGGCCTAGTTCTGTGAGTTTCTGGGTAGTCAGACTTTCTCAGTAAAGCTCTGGAGGAAATAAAGTACCTTTTAAAAATATTTTTTCTAGTAATGTATGTAGGTCATACATTATGGAAGTGGAACAAAATGTTAAGAGCTAGAAGTACTTATTTTGTCCAAAGCTTGAATAGATGTTCCTTCTTTTCTACACCCCCCCAATGAAGTATCTCTAATATCACCATTGTGTTGTGACAGATCTGAAAGGATCTGACTGTCCTGCTGTTGTGGTAGTTCAGTCTTATTAAGCACATTTCCAAATACTGATCATTGACATGAAACACTGCCAGGAAAGCATAGCTCCTACAAACTATGCCAAGATTTATGCAGCCAAAGTGTAGTCTTGAGGGATAGCTCAAACCAGAATTTCTGCTCCATCTGCAGTATAGTACTTCCATTTTGCTTAGTTTTTAAAACAATGTAAATCACAAGACAGAAGGTAATCAGGCTGTCACTGTTAATAGGAATGCAAAGTTTGGCCACAGTTATTACAAATAATTACTGTTTCAGAGTTATTGATAGAGTAAGGTTACTGGAGGTGCAAATTGAGATGTTAATTGCAACTGTAGCTTTAGAAATTCATTTATTTTGACACAGGAGTTTTTAGACCTTACCTGACGTAATGTGGCAAATATAAATATATTAAAATACTAACTATAAAGAACTGCAAATGCAAAATACAGCTGATTCTCTAGCAACTATCCAGATAGCTTTGCTGTTTAAATGTAATTTCTAGGTCTTATTATGAATCTCTGGACTTTTGAAGTACTTGAATATAGACATTGTTGAGAATAGTTCTGCAATATAGGCAAATTTGAGCTTGGTTATGTCTTCACAGCCACCAAGAAATCTTGTCATGTAGGGACACTTACTGCAGAGCAGATGACATTTCCTTTGTCACTTTGAATCACTTGCTCTTTCTTAAAGTAAGAACATGACAGTCCAGAACTCTTAGCCATTTGCAGCTAATGATGTTGACTTACCTTGTCTTTACAAGCACACACTGGTCATACCTTAAGGCAAAAGCAGTTCTCCCTGACCTGTTTGTTTTGAGGTGGTTTGTTGTTTCTTTGTTTTGTTTTGTCTGTAAGGAGAACTTGTTTTCTGTGCCTAATAAGCAGTGTCTCTACATTGGGTTTGGAAACCTTCCTGCCAACTGTCCTTTTGTAGGGTGTGTTTTAGTAGAGTTTCAAATGTGCTAGATCCATCTCTTTGAAATGGACTTCTCCTCAGGTCTGACTTTCAGCTTTCCTGCTGTTTCTTTGCTGAGTGGATGTCTGGCTAGGGAGAGGTACATAAATGAATTACAAAGCTGTACAAAATATCTGGAGGAGGAGGATTCTTACCTGTCTTTTCTCATAGTGTAAAAACAATGAGAGCACTGAAAGAAAAGTGAGAGGCAAAGATATAACACGTGAAAAGAAATCTGAACCAGTTTTTCTAATCAGTGAAAGTTCTTGTTGAAAGAGTAAAGCTGCAGAAGAGATACAAATTCATGTATCTTGGGAGACATTTAACTATCAGTGAATTCAGTTCAGCAGGCTACGTACACTTTGTCCAGCTTATCAGTTATGAAGCATTTCTTGCTTTGCTTTGAAATGACTACAAGGGCCTGCAATTAGAGATAGCTGGAACCAAATGGGTCATTGTTCTGTTCATTCGAGGATTCATATCCTGTTCTTAAAAGACCACAAAAACAAACCACCCACTGAACCAGAAACTGTGTTTCAAATTATGAATTTCTCTACCCTGAGAATAAAACCGTTAAAATGACTTTTGGCACATAATTGTCACAGACTGTTTGCCTGGAGAAGCTGTGGTGCTCCATCAATGCTCAAAGCCAGGTAGGATGGGGCCCTGGGCATCCTGAGCTGATAGGGAACACCCTGCCCACAGCAGGAGGTTGGGGCTGGGTGGGCTTTAGGGTCCCTTCCAGCCGGAACCATTCTGTGATTGATGCTCTGTATGCTAAAGCCTTATGAAGCAAAGTATGCTGTTTCAGGAGCAACTTGCC